TTACGCGACGCACCAACACGAGAAAGGACTTCAATGAAGTCAATCGACGGCTTCAAGACCCTAAGTACCAGATTGGTTTAGTTTAACTTCTTGGCAAGCCTTGGGAGTCAGAATACCGATGACTTCGTCAGAAGGGTATATTATGCACAATTTTATGACGAAATAAGCGCTAACATTAATTCCGAAGGGAAGGAAACGAAAGACGGCCTGTGTGGTCCACAGGTATATTACGTTAATAAAGGTAAGTCATGTATTATTTCTATAAACAATTGCAAACAAACGTCTATGAGACGCGAAACAGAGGCAGGCGAGTAGATGTCTACGAGACAGAGGCTGCCTGATAAAGCTTTATCAGAAGCCTAATAAGATCTCTGACGCCCCGAGGAGGCGGAGGAGTAAGCCTGGCTCCATTTTGGATGAGACTGACGGTTAACCCTATTATGGTCTTAATAGGCTTCTTTCGAAAGACCAATTCCAGGCCCATCAAGCCAGTCACCAGGCCTCCGCATGTAAATACGTCGGAGGAGAAATAAATCAAGGTTTGTTTTATTCATTTCTAAATGTACGTTAAAGTAAAAAATGCAATGACTTCTTCTTCATTTGATTTGGCAGACGCGTGGTTTGCGAAAAGACACATCAGAGGGGTTCCCTAGAGGTCGAAGGTCAGGAGAGAAATGTCATGCGTCCGTAATAATTTCACACTTTATTAATCCAGGCATATATACCACTTCCCCTGCATAGCGCCGTATCGCGACTTTTCGCCGTTGTTTCCATAGCGATCAAATGAATAAAATCCGATATTAATCCGTCAGACTTATCACAAATCTTCCGAAACGAACTGCTGAAGCATTGACGTAGAATTGCTATAGCAATAGAGTAAAAATTCTTAGACGGCGGAAAAACAACCACTACGATAGAGTACGGGAAATGTTAAAAGCAGTGACTTATACAGTAAGACTCTATAAGCATGGATAAAGCATAGTATTATTTCAGACATCAGTTACAGCATATAAAGTGGTGGTTTGAAAATGCAATCCAAGAAACAGATCAAAAAGTACCCATTTAGGGCATCTACTCCGTAAAAGAGACTGCGTGCCTGATGTAGCAGCCAAAGTTCCGATTGGTTGTTGACGTCATGAGCCGTCAGGCGGTGTTAAGAGTGCAATATTATATGGAATTCGGGGCTCATTCTGTCAAAATCCGTATGGTGAGAAGCCCAAGTCATGCTATGGGCGGTCAGTGGAAATCTTGAAAGTATAGTTGTCCCCCCGAAAGCACTGGCATCTAGGCACATATGGACCAAGAGGCTATATTCGAAATTTAAGAAATATGACTGGGCTTTTTACGAAAAGGATAAGAGAGACATATGTAGGCTTTTGTACATTTTTGATTTGTTTCACTACATTTTCTTGTACATCTGACTTTTTTGTACATTTGTTTGACTAAACGGAAATACACAGTAACAACTCTGTAGCGGTCAACGTGTGTTCTGGTTTCGAGTGTGCTTGATGTCGTTATTTCTTGGCCTTCGCTTGTAACCTCTCAACATTCTTAGCAATTCGTATGAGCTGACGGAGACTCCCTCCTCACAAGCCTACTTCACCATATCATCGCGGAGCCGACTGCCTCTATTCAACGGGTTCCTCATCGGAATACTATCTCGCTACTTGAGAGGATTCTACTTTGCGTGAGTCTGGAAAATTCCTTTTCTGATTCTTCGAATCTGTACATCCTTTTTTGTTGGTAAACACAATTCCCCCACTTGGAGTTAGTTTCCTGTATATATTACTGTTTGTAGTTTTAAGGTCCACGTTTCGACTACACATATTTGACTTTATTTCTAGAAACGTTTTACGGGCAGAAAACTTGAACATCTGGCCAAAAAGTGGCATGGCACCTAGTACGCTTGCCGAAGAAGAAGAAAACCGGACTTAGGACATTCTAGACCCGTTCAACCCGAAAATTACCATCGTTATCCTCGCCACGACCCGACTATGAAGCTCGGCAAGAGGAAAATTTAGACCCAACACTGGCCTTATTGCTCTAAGTGAGTCCTAGTTATGCCAATACTCTAAAAATGATTTCGCAAGCTAACTGTATTTAGTCATAGTTTATTCGTAGACTATGATTGAAGAAGTTTCAACAAAAGAACGTGTGGAGTCATAAAACAGTCATACCTGACTCTCTGCCCAGTGTAGTCCAAGAAATTTAAAGGAGATGAGCACCACCTTTGAAGACCCAATTAAAACCTAAACATACAATATGAGGTCCGAAAGTAATTTATTAAGAGGACCTCCTCGAAACCCTATATACTCTCACCTGCAGGACGGTTCTGTCTGACCCGTATATTTGCTCTCCATAAGCAATATTTTTCCTTCTAAATTAGTTATATCTAAATAAATCGCATTCATTCTGTCTTTTCAAAGAATTAAAGGAGTATTTTATCCGTAGTTGTTAACCGTTTTTCTTTTAAGGCTACCTATTTTATAAACCCGGTCTGAGCACTGTATAATGTCCGTCTACTTGTCTTAACATTTACATGCGATGTAGAAGAAAGAGGATGATGTGATAAAATAAATTTCAACGCTGTCAGTAGATAGAAGCAAGACGGCAGTTTGGTATGGCTGAATGGTGTGTTTAAAGCAAATATATATCCATTTATTTTTGAATGTTTCGCATGTGTCAGATAGTTAAGTCCTCAGAAGGAGCGGTAAAAACAGCGACATGTTGATGCGAAAGCGGATGGCGACAAGTATAAAGGTGGGATAAAACCAGTTGAGGTGAGAGGGAATTAACAAAACAGGTTGGCTAGTGTTGCCAGTGGGGAGAAATCATGAACGCGAAAGGGCGAAGTCTCCATTCCTCACGATCCGGCAGATCTATGTGAGATCTCATCGGCTGCGCTTGTATTAAAGGGGAAAACATTAACAACCTCTCTCTGCATTTGTATGATTGTGACTTCTTGTCGTAAATCGTAATGTTCTCACGAACTAACGAGTTATATCTTACGAGCCCCTAGCCTTAAATGCAGCAAGTAAATCGGAGCAGTGAATAATATAGAGATTTTTGAACGTTAAGAAAAACTGACAACAGAATACCACAGCAGAGCACGCTAGCAAGGCGGGTTGTACAGGTGTGTCGTTTCTCGTCACATTCAAACAAGCAATGCGGTCAAAGGAAATGCGACTAAATTGTCAAAGGTAAATAAGTCATGTACCTCACCACAGTACCCCCCTTCTAGACCGGAGGGCGACGGGATACGGCGCCGGAGGATATGCACAAGTCTAGAAAAAATGGGTAACTAAACGATCGGGAAAATGAACGTGACGGCCACTGCGAGTTACGTATGCAGGAGGTACAGTCGAAGAGGGTTGACTGCGTGCTGTGGTGGACGATGGTGTTGCAGTTGGATGCTGTTGACACGTAGGGAGAGGAAGTATGCGGGACGGAGGGGTAGAGGGCAAGGGAGGGGAAGGGCAAGGCAGTGGACAGGGTGAACGAGTAGGGGATAGGGAAGATGGAGGAACAGGGGTTAGGGGGTCAGCACATGTTTGTCCTTGTGACAGGTTCGGCGGCTCCTCCGCAACAGCAGCCTTGACCCGATCGACACTGACCACGTCCTCCTTGTCATTGCGAAGAATTCGGAAGGTCTTGGTGTTGCGCGCGAGCACGCGGAACGGTCCTTCATATGGTGATTCCAGCGGCTGGCGCACACGGTCACACCGGACGAACACATGAGTACATTTGTCCAAGTCTTTTTCGACATAAGACTCAGTCATTGGAGCTCGAGGTGGAACCGGGGAAAGCGAGCGCATAAATTGTCGCAAACGGTGCACAAGATTGTCAGGAGTCTCGTCGGCTCCACGAGAGGTTGGGGTGATCATCTCGCCTGGCAGTCGGAGGGTAGTGCCGAAAACCTATTCGGCTGCGCTACAGCCCAGATCCGACTTCAGAGCTACGCGGATGCCGAGGAGTGCAAGAGGAAGGTTGTCCGACCAGTTTTCTGGGTCTTCTACGGCACGCAGGGCGGTCTTTAGGTGGCGATGGAAACGTTCCACCATACCGTTGGCAGCGGGGTGGTAGGCTGTCGTCCGAATTCGTGTGCAGGCAAGGAAATTGAGTAGCGTTTGGAAGAGAGCCGACTCAAACTGGGCACCACGATCAGTCGTAACCGTGGATGGGGCACCGAACATGGCGACCAAACGACTGACGAAGGCCTTCACGATGGTTTCAGCCTGAACATTCGGCAAAGGAATAGCTTCAGCCCAGCGAGTATATCGATCGACACAGGTAAGGAGGTAGGTGAAACCATTGGATGGAGGCAAGGGGCCTACAACATCCAGGTGCACATGGCTGAACCGTGCGTCGGGACTGGGGAAAGTGCCTGGTGGGAGCTTGTTGTGACGCTGCACCTTGTTGCGCTGGCAGCTCAGACACGACCGGGCCCAAGCTTTGACGTCCTTGTTCATGCCAGGCCAGACAAACCTTTCCGCGAGGAGCTTTTTAGAGGCTCGTATCCCAGGGTGGGAGAGTCCATGCAGAGTTTGAAATACAGCTCGATGCATCGAGGCGGGCACAAAAGGGCGATGGAAGGGAGTTGAGACGTCACAAAGTATGGTACCAGGGCCGGTGGTCAGAGGAACGTCTTTGAGTTGGAGACCACTAACAGACTCGTCGCCAGGAGAACCGACTCGCTGCTGCTCAGCCGCCATGGCACAAAGATCGATCCCCTGTGAGAGTTGGAGGGAAGACAGTGAGGGCCTGGACAGCATATCAGCCACCTCATTCTTCGGGCCATCAATGTGGCGGATGTCGGTGGTGAATTGCGAGATGTAATCCAAATGAGAAATCTCTCTCGGGCTATATTTGTCAGAATGGGATCGGATGGCAAATGTAAGTGGTTTGTGGTCTGTGAAAATGGTGAAGTCACGACCCTCAAGGAAGTGTCGGAAATGTTTTACGGCTAGGTAAATGGCAAGAAGTTCACGGCCAAACGTGCTTTATCTCGTCTCGGCAGGTGAAAGCTTCTTGGAGAAGAATGCCAACGGTCGTGTCGAGTTGTTGATATGCTGTTGGAGGACTGCTCCTACGGCAACGGTCGAAGCATCAACCATCAACGACAATGGGGCTTCTGGAGCAGGATGAGTGAGCAAGGTAGCATCAGCAAGGGAGGTCTTTAGTCTCTCAAATGCAGTCAGCGCGTGGCCACGTAACTCAAGGGGACCCTTGGGACCAGAGAGCAAGTTGGTGATTGGCAGCATAAGGTCGCCACAGTTCGGTAGGAACCGGCGATAAAAGTTTACCATGCCAAGGAAACGTTGCAGCTGACGCTTGGAGGTTGGTGGAGGAAAGTCACGAATGGCCTCAACCTTGGAAGAGAGGGGACGCAAACCTTGTGCATCGATATGGTGACCAAGAAAATCAAGGGACGGCACACCCAGGACACACTTGGAAGGGTTAATGACCACGCCAAACTGATCGAGGCGGTCAAACACTAAGGCAAGATGCTCTTTGTGTTCCTCGGCATTTCGACTGGCCACCAAGAGGTCATCGATGTAGGCGTACACAAACGGGAGACCACGTAGAACCCGATCAATGAACCTCTGAAATGTTTGGGCAGCATTGCGAAGACCAAATGGCATGCGAATAAATTCGAACAGGCCGAATGGTGTGGTGACGGCAGTTTTGGGAACATCCTCAGGAGCGACAGGAATCTGATGGAAGGCCCGAACAAGGTCAATCTTCGAGAAAACCGATTTGCCGAAAAGAGCTCCAGCAAAATCTTGAAGATGAGGGACGGGATAACGATCCGGGATGGTCGCATTGTTGAGGGCGCGATAGTCACCACAGGGCCGCCAGTCGCCTGATGTTGCCTTGGGCACCATGTGCAGTGGGGACGCCCAAGGGCTCTCGGACGGTCGAATTATTCCCAGTTGCAGCATGTGTTCAAACTCCGCCGTCGCGGCCTGAAAACGCTCCGGTGCTAGTCGTCTCGGTCGAGCAAACACGGGAGGACCTGAGGTGCGGATATGGTGCACAACATCATGTTGAACTTCACCACTGCGAAACTGGGCGTTAATTATGTTGGGGTGACTAAGCAGCAGTTGCCGAAAAGGACTAGCAATATCTGTATCCAGGACAGATAAGTTGAGGGGGCAGTAAATGGAGTTAGTCCACGGACGAACAGACCGGTTGTGCGGTCGAGGAGACGGGCACGTCGACAGTCAACAAGGAGATCGAACTCGGCAAGGAAGTCCGAGCCGAGGATTGCATGAGAGACATCGGCAATCACAAAGATCCAAGTAAATGACCGACGAAGTCCAATGTTCAGGGTGAGGGACAGACTGCCAAAAGTGGGAATTGGGGAACAGTTAGCAGCTTGAAGATGAAGACCAGGACTAGGGAAACGACGATCAGCTGCAGTTGGGGGAACAACACTTATTTGAGCTCCAGTGTCCACCAGAAAACGTCTGCGAGTCGCAGTGTCGCAAACATAGAAGGTGCGACCAGAGCCGGAGGAGCCAGAGAAAACGGTCGCATCTATTCTCGGGCTGACTGGTTTTCCTGTTTTGGCTTAAAAGAGCAAGGTGAGGAACAGCGACGGGCCTTTAAGCCGAAATTAGTGTGGTACCAGCAAGTATCAGCAGTCCGAGGTCGCGAACGTGAACGACGACGACTGCGTGAGCGACTGGAAGTTAGGCGGGCGAGCTGTATTTTAAGAGAGGCCATCTCATCTGCCATGGCCGACACCTGTTTTAGTAAATGCTCATTCACTGACGATGAGGATGAGATCTGGGCAACGGAAGGTGACTGGAATCGTTGCACCTCTATCATTCGATCCGCCATCTCAGCCAACTGTGACACTGTGAGATCCTGAGAGCCGGACGCCAGGATCGTTTGAACTTCTGTGGGCAGGCGCTCCAGGAACATCTCCTTGACAAATTTATCATCAACTTGCATGTCTCCAAGGAGACAACGCATCCGACGTAGAAGCTCTGAGGGCTTCCGGTCACCCAGTGACTCTTCCCTAATTAACTGGTGATACCTCTGTCGGTCAGACACAGAATTAAGTCGGAGGATTTCTGCCTTTAACGCGGAGTAGGGAGCATCTGCAGGAGGATTAGGTAGCAAGGACTGAACTTGAGAGATGACACTAACGTGGAGGGCCTCCACGAGTTTGTGGTATTTTGCTAGCTCCTTGGTAACGTCAGCAGAATAAAAGACTGATTCTATGCGGATGAAGTAGAGTTCTGGAGCGTGTTGCCAGAATTCAGGCAAAGTAAAATTGATTGCATGAAGGACTGGGCGGGGGCATCGAGTTGTTGATCGGAGTGAGACATAATAAGACAGCGATGTCAAAATATCAGAATTCGTGAGGAAAGTAAATGTAAATGGAATAGATATTCACAAGCAAATAGTACGTTAAATGTTATCCAGTATGACAGAAAGCTATAAAGTCTGCGTAAACGTCGGGAGTCACCAATGTCGTAAATCGTAATGTTCTCACGAACTAACGAGTTATATCTTACGAGCCCCTAGCCTTAAATGCAGCAAGTAAATCGGAGCAGTGAATAATATAGAGATTTTTGAACGTTAAGAAAAACTGACAACTGAATACCACAGCAGAGCACGCTAGCAAGGCGGGTTGTACAGGTGTGTCGTTTCTCGTCACATTCAAACAAGCAATGCGGTCAAAGGAAATGTGACTAAATTGTCAAAGTTAAATTAGTCAGGTACCTCACCACATTCTGACCCTTCACGACATTTGTTGTCTCCCATTTAACCCTTTCCAGCAGCATATAAATATTTTTCAGCTACGGGCGCCACTCCTGAGTTCCAAATTTTGCTTGAGAGCGAATAGAGACTCAATAGTATTTCCTAAGTAGCTTCTCCTCATGTATAAAAGCTACCTTAATGACGAGGAGGACAGCGGTCACTCCATTTGCCGTCCTGCCGCGTTGAGTGAAGAACTTCAACGATGAAAAAATGCTGATTAGGAGGTCCTTTTGTTCAGTGACATTTGACTGGCACCTTCTGTCAAGTAATTATAGGTGATCATCTCTATTTGTTCTCCTCTTCGCTTTGAATCGCATTGCGATACAATTCTCAAAGTGGAAGTTCAGCCACCGTTTGTGGAACCATTCACGTAGGTGGTTAAGTATTCCTCGCAGAGTCTGCTCATCAGTTTGTATCTCCTCCATATTCTGATGTCGTCTGCAAGCATGACTTGCTCGCAGTCAAGATCATTCATGCTCACACTGGCATAGATTAAAAGCAGTAATGACCCGAGAACGGAGCCCTGAGGCACCCCACCAGCAACCCTAGAACATAACGCAAAAGATATGAAAGACACCAATAAAAAGGACCACAGGAATCTCACGGAACCGAAAAAAGACGATGAACTTCACGTTCAGCGAAATAAATAGAGGCAACGAACGAAGTCGTCAGATAAATCTTCCGACTCAATCAAAATAAAGGGGAACATAAATATAACAGGCGGAGATGTAACTGACCTTCGCACTTCCATAATTTTGAAAAATCTGCTGTATGGAGTCCGTCTGCACCAAAATAAGGCAGCTATCTGTAGACCGTAATCGTATGTATTCATGTAAACTACGAAAGAGCGATCTTAGCTCTCCCTACGTGTGTCCATTGGACTATAATGCAACAAGTCCTGTGAGGCGGCAAACCAAAGGCGCAAATTCTTTCATCATGGATGTGCGCAGTTTAGCAACATACCTGGGAGCCACAAGCCCAAAAACACACCCGCTGGGCGCTAGTCGAAGGACGGAATGTCAGAAGAAGTAGCTATGGCTGAACGATCCAAAGCGATTTTCGAGAAATAACCATTAAAGTCCCAGCTTCAGAGCAGTGTAAGCACAATAGTTAGGGCAGAACCAAAATCCGTGATTCCAACCCCATTAATAGAGGAAAGCGTGATAGAGAGACAGGTTTTTCTTAAAAGATCACTTTGTGTAGTGGTCCATGGAGTTCCTGGGGTTACTGACGAAACCCCTGTGGAGAGGGTCAAGCAGGACCTTTAACATTCCAAAATTCACTAAATGAGACTCTAGAACGCGAGGTAACTGAAATGTAAAATTTCTTTTGTTTGGGGTCCGTTGTTAGAGGCGACACAGAGGAGATGCGACCAAAGTCACTGAAAGTCGTCTTGGGAAGCAATCAGCAGACTGATCTAATCTTATCTCGAAATTCCCGACTACGAAACAACAGCCGTGGAGGGTTTTTTCAGCCAGATTACTCTCCCATCTATCAAATGAAAAGGCGTCAGAGCCTACCTCGTCTAAAATTCATATGGAAATGTATTTTTACTTGCTTTGATGGGACCCCAACGGGTCTTTAATAAAAATTATTCATTTATTTATTTAATCTGAAGATTGTAGGCAATGAAATCATCAAAACGGAACGCATGTTTATAAGGAATTATCCGGTGAACTTGACGATTACCACGACAGTCATCCGCTTCATCGAACTATTTTAAAATTGAAGTCCCACAATGAACCGAACATTTCGTGCGAAAAGTACAGTAATAACTGTCAGACACAAGAACCAACTTACAATTTACAGGGACCGAGAGAGCCACAAATGCATGGTAATGGTGTGCACAAACGTACAGAGTCTTTTTAGAAAATTTGATGAAATTAAGCTGACCGTGACCCACTTGCAACCTGACTTTATAGTTCTCAAAAAACATGGTTCAATGAGCAGGTAGCGGACGCATAATTAACGTTAGACGAATTGCGGCTCATCCGCATTGATCGAAATGGACGTATGAGTGCGGGAATCGCGATGTTCATACGGGACGGCATTAGCTACGCCACGGATGGGTCCTCACCAAAAGGGAACACTGGCTGCGAAATCTCTAGCTGTAAATTGAAAATACCAAACCAACCGGAACTCCAGGTTGCTCTGGTATACAGACTCCCGTCTGGGACATCGGAGGGACACGGACGATGAACTCATCACAGAGTTGAAGCAAATCAGCCATAGCAAACACGTCATACAACTTGAGATTCTAATTCTCCGGACATCGATTGGGAATCGATGCACTACACGCGATCGGAAAACTCATTCCTATAGAAGCTACCTCAATTGATTACTGACGAGCTCTTTACTCAATATGTTGCAATGAACACCCGATTCCGAAGTGGACAGCAGTCAAGGTGTTTGTATCTCATCATTACTAGGGATGAAAATTGTGTACTTGGAGCGACTTCTAACATGCCCCCGGGCTGAAGTGATCAGTGCGTTCTTGTTTGGCGGTACAGTCTTTTTTCTGTACCCAAAATTCGAACCGAAAGGAAGAGCAATGCATGGAAAGGGAATTATTCCAAAATGAAAGAACTGCTGACTGACATAGAATGGAACCCTGCGCATGCATCTGAACCAAACGCCGCCTGGGTTTTCTTTAAGAACGTGATCTGGAACTTGGTAGAAAATTGCTACCTTTTCAAAAGGAGATCGTGCGTCTCCCGACAAGAGGAGATGACGTCAGAAATAAAGAGAAATCTTCAAAAGATAAGGAGGCTGTGGAAGAGGTACGTCACATGTTAACCGTCTGAACATCGCTCGGAATGTAAGCAACAGCAAAGTAGGTGTCGGAGTCTCCTGAGAAGAGAAAGGGCAGTATTTGAGTCTAAAATACTCAATGAAATTTTGAAAAAATCCAAAGAAGTTCTTGTTGTACGTGAATGTGGCAAAACGTAATCGGAACTCTATTCCTTGTCTCATAAATTGTCAGGGAAAGAAGTCAGCCGATAATTCGGATGAGACAAAACTCTTATCCGGTTTCTTCATGTCTGTGTATATCGAGGAGCCGACTTTGATGAGGAAGAACATCGGCAAACTGCTCTACCTGGAAAAACAATTAACACAGTGACGTTCACAAAGGACGCAGTAAGGAAAACTCTGAGACGGCTGCAGCCCACTAGATCGTCTGGTCCGGATGGTATATCCGCAAAAGTTACCTACGAACTCGCAGACCAACGGGCCTCCACACTCTCCAAGATCTTCGAAAGTTTCATGGAAGCAGGCGCCCTGCCTACTAACTGGAGACTAACCAACCTCAGTCCCATATATAAAGGGAGAGAAAGAACCTCGCCAAATATATTCAGACCAGTGAGTCTCACAAGCAATTGTTGCAAAATAATGGAGAATATAACGTAAGGGGAGTTAATGAGATATATTGAGGAGAACGGCTTGCTTAGTGTGCATCAACATGTATTGAGAGGTGGTCGATCCTGATTTACTAACCTGCCCATATCCAGGGAAAGCTATACGAAATCCCTAGGGGTGGGTTTGCCAGTAGATTCAGTTTACACTGACTTCAGCAAAGCCTTCGACTGGGTGCCACACAGACAGGTCGTATATAAACTGTGTCATATGGGTGTGACTGGCAACCTTCTCAAGTGGTTGACCGGCTTTATTGCAGGCCGAGGTCAATGGGTGTGCATTGGTGATGTCAAATCCGAGTGATAAACCCTTCACAGCGGTGTCCCACAGGGGAGCGTTCTGGACCCCATTCTGTTCTTGATATATGTGAACGATTGCCTAGATTACCTAGCCAGCGAGAAGGTAATGTTCGCTGATGATCTGAAGATGCGGAGTTCGATAGAAAGGCCAGAGGACACTCTAAGCTTGCAAAACAACTTGAATCGACTACAACAGGGGTGTGATTAATGGCTTCTCAGCCTCAATTTCAACATATGTCAATTCATCAGACTTAGGTCTACTTATAGAAAGGATTTGGGATCTGAATATGACTATTTCCTCTGCAGTCACGAACTCGAGCTTGCAAATAGGGTAAAAGATCTTGTTGCACGGATGACATCCACGCTCAAGCCCTCGTCTGTCTGCGTAAAGATAGCAAATAAGGCTGTGGGCATCCTGGGAGCGATCAGGAGATCCTTCCTCATCTTCGACGAAGAGCTTTTCGGTCGAATGTTTGGGACATGTATCCGGCCGATTTTGGAATTTGCTATTCGGGCATGACGCCCTTGGATAAGGCAAGATTGCACTTTCTTGGAGAAGGTGCAACGAAGAGCGACTAAATTAGTCGTTGCGCTGAAGAGCTTACCTTATGAGGAACGGCCAGAAAGGCTTGTGTTTTCACCTAACGACCTGAACCACTACTCCACTTAATGGAGTATTCTAGTTAAACTGACTTCGAAGCAATGCGGTTAAAAGCAAAGATGTGTGGTGAATCAAATCTAGATTTTCTGACAGTATAAAGGCTGATTAGCCGGACTCCAGAGGTTAATGGGGGAACGCTCGGGTTAACTAAAGAGGTACCGCAGAATCGAGATGCGCTGATAGTCGAGGGTTCAAACGCAGCCATGATCGACTGGAGCAATTTATTAGTAAAAGGTTCGCGTTATTCCTCTGACTTCTGATTCCCAAATCTGGCAACAAATCTGTTTTCCGCACAGAATGCAACTTTTCCTATCAGAATCAAAGAGGCCCAAAGGACAAGTTGCCTAGATCTCGTTTTTTCGAAAGGCCCAATTAGTGCAGACGAATTTAAACCCATCGCAGGGCTTGGTAGGGGTGACCACGTCGTGCTGCTGTGCGAATACTGCTCGTGCGCCAAAAAAGTGAAACCATTAGTGCTCGGCAAAATTTATGGCGAGAAAATTTTGCTGTCATGAGAAATGGTTTATCGTTACTAAACTGACAAGACGTTCTTACAGGGGGTCTGGATGGCGATAGAAACATTAGATAAATAGATAGATAGATAATTTTTTATTAAAGACCCGTCGGGGTCCCCTCAAAGCAAGGTAAAATAAATTTGCATGCGAGTTTTAGACGAGGTAGGCCGAATCTTTACAAAATGCAATTCATAGTTTCTGAACTAGGAGTCCATTGAAAAGCATGATGATTGAGGGGTGAAATAAAAACTCCTTACAAAAAAATAAAAATGATTGGAATAATTTTACAGGGGAAAAAAACCCCCAATAAAAATAATGACAGAAAAAAGCGAGCAGGACTGCCCTCTAGGTGGCGGTATATAACGGAACGCTGTCGGTCATCGTCAGAGGAGTTATAATGAGAGTTATGCATTGTCAATGTCTGGCCGAAAGAATCCAAAGAGGAAATTTGTCCGCCTGTCTAACGCGAATTTTAAAGAGTGAGATAAACACAAAGAACAAACACTAGCGAAAACGTGGAACAACAAGACATCCCTTGCATTACGGAGAGTTCCTTCGACTGCAGAGCGAGATAAACTCAGATGTACGTAGATTGTGGAAGGGGCATGGGACGCAAATAATAGAACGAACTGTAAACAAGCATAAAGTATTCTTCAGCCACATCGACAGCGGGTATAAGAACAAAGAGACTTTCCACATTGCAGGAGTGGGCCTGCAGTGCTTGCACGATTCAGGCCTAAGGATGACACATCTGGCATGGTGATTTTCAGCAAATGAGGACAAAACTGTTCGGGTTCAGTTGAGACTATAGTTTTACGGGGAGGGTTAACGAGGACTGATAGCCGTTTGAACAAGCCATTCCGCAGTTCCGAATTAGAAGTGATAAAAAGCGCTGCCAAACATGCGGGGTGTTTCCTTCACTAAACATATGTTAGAGTTTATCAATTTCAGAAACCTTATTATCACTCATCGGGACTTCAAACACTTCGTTCAGAGAAACCGAATTCAGAATGACCGTAATTTAAAAAGTGCAAGACAGGAGGAGTTCATGCCATCTAGTGAGAGCTGGCGGTGCCTTTCGGATTGAAATGAGTAGGAAGGAGGCAATGAACATTCCGGAGCTTTCTAACTCGTTCTCAGATGTGAATCAGGTGGGTACATTCGCCAACACCTTGCACAATATTTTTTTTTACAAAAAACTTATCAAAAGAAGTTGGCAAGACTGACGAAGTCAAGGGTCGTCCCTTATCAAAAAATTAGACAATACCGCTACTTTTCGAATTCAACTACTACTACTACTACTACTACTACTGCACTACTTTACTTGGAAGTGAGTACTACGGTCGAACTACCCGGCACCTGAAAGAAAACTTCCTTTGTGTCTAGCCTCGCATCTTCGTGTCCAACTTTGTACGGATGACCTCTCAGGCGACTCATTTTAAATACCAAGAAATCTTCAGATTTGAGTGAACACTTATGTCCGCGAATAATGAAAACTGTCCACAGTAGGTTGCATCTCATCTATCTATAGGATAGGGGGAACAAACTGAGCTAGATCAGTCTTTCTGAATACGACAGAGTCCTAAGACCGTCCACCAGTTGTGCCGTCCCTCTTTGCAGCTGCTCGATGGGGTTGCTGTCTTTCTCCATCCAGTGCACCCATCCCTGCCAGCACATTGCCCCTTCATAGGCGGGGCTGGAAGGGGCTGGGTGGGGCCAGAGCCCCGCCTGCCAGCACATGGCTCCTTCATAGGCGGGGCTGGAGGGGGCTGGGCGGGGCCAGAGCCCCCTCTGGATTGAAGCCTTTTGAAGCGTATTTGCATCGAAAGATATGTTCCAAAAGCACCACTTATTGTACCTTCTTTGGAATTTAAAGGAGCTAGTTTATCAACATTGGCTTATAAACCATGGAGAAAGCATCCGTTTACGTCCACTGAATGTAGCTGCGGATGAGCACAATATATTGAGGTTTTGTTTAAGTCCCTCATTGCTTAAACTCTTATTTGTCCACCGGTTTACAATCTGTGTGTGTTATTAATTCGTATATTTGACAATGGGGACGATATTTTAAAGTGGTGCCAAAAGTGGGCTGGGATGTGGCGTCCCCTGCGCATTTTTTTTCGCTGGCGGGGCTAGGCGGGGCTATCGCGTTGCATGCCCCGCCACAGCCCCCTCTACAGCCCCGCCTAGCCCCCTCATAGCCCCCTTTAGCCCCGCCATTATTGAGGGGGACAGGCGGGGCTAGGCGGGGCTGGTGCTGGCAGGGATACTATCATTTTGTATTCCAAATGTAGTCTAGCGAACGTGCCAAATATCTGCGCAATGAGCACGGGATGAAGGATTACGAAAGCACGCAAGATCCAGTGAACGGTGCCCGTTGCCCTTTGGACGGCTCTTTTGTAGTGTTCGGAGTGCAGCACTTTTGAACTTTCCAGACACCTAGGTCTTTGGGCGTGTCTACTTCCTTTGGTGGAACCTCATTTATGGTATACTTGTGTTTTGTGAGACGTCTCCGACTACACATTTGAATTCATTAAACGTCAGAAACCACTTGGTGGACCATGCAGCCAGCCTACCAATATCTCCTTATAGTTTCTGCGCGACCTCAGCACAGATAATTATTTTCCAGGTTTATATCATCTGCAAACATGACAGCACTGCAATTAATATCATAAGGGCAGTGGTGTATATAGATGAGGGAAAAGAGAGGACCTTAGACCGAACCCTGTGGGACACGGCTTTCTACTGGTACTCATTCGGATGCCGTGGTAACAACAATGCGCGCCACTCCCGTAAATGACATTCCAGTTGTCTCCTGACAACATTTATCTAAGGTTCGCGGACGTTTCAGTCAGCGGGTTTATTGAAAAGATACCAGACAAAGGCGGTGTCAGACAAAATTTTTCTCCTACTGTATTGGTCGCCTGTTATCATTGCAAAAATAGGTACCTACAACCAGCATTTAAAATCCCGAAAGCAGCATAAAAGCCATCATGCGGAAGTGTCTCGACTATTTAGCCTGCATTATGAGGCTCTTTCCAATCGATGTCCGAGGTGCTTGCTAAGAAAACAAGATTTTGGAGCAGCCCTTTTGAGAACACCAAGGCGATTAATGTCCTACTTCGAAAAAGGTCTCGTGGCTAAAAATTAGACTGCGTGACCAAATGGACACTTTTTATATTTTCATCAAACAGATGTTGGAGTCTGAGAACTACAACTGGCCATTGGCTGAGAACGAAATCGGCGCGTTGCATCTCAAATGCTAGCGGATGCATTCCGCATGCTGAGAGTGTACCCATTCTGTAGGGTAGAGAGATGTCCCGCAAGAGTATATCGATGCTGGGACGCTGTGTTACAATGACGATAAGTGGATTTACTGTCCTCATTTATGATGGCGGTGTTCTGTGGTTTTAGGAAGGCTGGTCGTCTTGACGCTGCGGGAGTTCCGAAGGTGTTCAAACTGTCATTTGACGGAGAGTTGGGTGTTCAGGGCACTAGTTCGTGATATTACTGTCTTGTTGCCTTGATATCTTGTCTCGGCCTCCCTTAAATGACTGACACCACAGATTGATGTTCCTGTTTTGACCATGGTATACCAGGCGCGTCAATCATGTCCAGAGGCTTCTTAGGCCTCCTGATCGATTTCAAACTGTTTGATTATGGTCGTCAGGACGATTTTTATCATTGTTCCCGCCCATCTTGTTCGCAAGAACCCCATCAGGGGAAGGTGGTCGCCTGTTTTTTCTCGCTTAATCACCGTTTGGCCCATTTCATCATCGCACAGGTGCTAAACACGCTGGTTATTTCCAGAACCTGACAGCTCACCTTTGATATGACTCGCAGGCAGCTTTAGTGATTGTCTTAGTTTTTTTTTCTGACTTTATACGCAAAAGTGCGTTAATAATAATCATAATAATAGTTTTAACTTTCAGCGTCTAGATAATGCTACCAAAATGAGTCTATAAAAGAAGTATGAAACGCATAGGTTCACAGGATGAATCTGAAAGCTAACCTTCTTTAAATTTGGAAAGGTCTGAACGGAGGATAATGATCCATAAGACACAACGTAGAGCGAAGTTTGAGGCCTGCAGCGACAAACACGGTTTAAATGGATATCTGCATTAATTAGGGAACGTGGCAGGCTTAATGAATTATGGACGCAACCATTGTAAAATACCAAGAGGTACACACCCAAGGTTTTCTCTAGTAATCGTCTATCGGAAACTTACATTTCGATTTGTGTGGCATAAGTGCTGCAATGTATGACATCAATAATAGCATACTAACGCCGTAGTATCCGTTCCTAGCAATTATATCTCCTCTAGACCCATCGACAACCATCCCCATAACGAGGCCACCGACTAAGTGCATTATCAGGTTTTGGAGAAAAGGCGCAGACTATGTGTATTTCCACTAATTTTGTCCATTTAGTGGAGCCACTAGTCGGGCTGCTTTTGCCGCTTATTGTTAAAACTCAGAATTCAGGAAGGTATGGCCAATATAAGAGCCAACATTTCATACATGCAAGTGCACTGTCTGCTGGTTGTAAGTCCAGTCGAGTCGTCAATAAAGGCCTGAGGCTGTCGTGGTGACACACCCGGTTAAGGTAGCATGGAAGTATAATGTCAATAGTGGTAGTGACGCTTCGCCCTGTAGAAGATATTGGTGGTTGAGAACGGTTAGACTGAACGACGGCGAGTGCTTTATAGGCGGTCCATGGCAGCTGTTTTGACACCTCCCGATAAAAAGATGTTCGCTGATGGACAGAAGTTAGCAGTTTTCGCTCTGATTGGGGAGGTATACTGTTCGATTACATATGATCTGGCGGCCAAGAAAAAATATTAAACATTAACTGCGACATTACTCTATTTGAGTAAACAAGAAACCAGTTCAGCAAAAGACATCAAGAGCTGGCGGAGAATACATGCGTGTGGCACGACAGCTAAAGAGTCTACGAGGGGGGTGGTCACCGCATGATGGGTTGGTCGTCGGTTCCGAACACGCCCACCGTGTGCTCCAATAGCAAGGTGAGTGCAGGCGCGGGAAAGGACACGGGAAAGGGCCCAGGTGGCTGGCATGGCCGGACCTGCATCTAGGCGTACCACCTCACTCCCTGGTCCACAACGAACTCTTGACGAGGATTTTAACCAACAACAAAAATGAGTCAGAAAGAGAAGGATGACTCAAGGCACTGGATAACCATGCACACTACCTGTATATCCAGCAGGAGCGCAAACGCACCAACCGGCAGGGGACCAGGTGCCAGCGCAAACCGAGCTGCGAGGGCCATGATTTGCCTAATCGTGGCATGGCAGACACATACCATCTTTAAGGCCCAAAAGCCCTGCATTAAGCCTGAGCCATCATCTTTCCAAGGCCAGATAGCCAGTCAGTCGTCGACTGAGAGGCCCTAGCCACATAAACACACACTCCTCACATGCGTGATAGTGTCAGAGGTCACGTTAAGAAGGAGCCGTGGCAGCCTGACTCTCAGCCCATCAGTCCGCCACTGCACACAAACACACGCACAACTGGGCGGACTGCGTGGACTGAGCTGAGGCATCAGCCGGCATCCTTCAAGCCATGGCGCTTGGCGCACCGTGATAGTCTCAGACTCTGATCACATGTAGCAGAGGAACCGCATTGAGAAGGAGCCGAGACGAACACTTCTCACTTACGTGAGAGTTGTCAGTCGAGTGCTTACGTTGTGTGGCGATGGGTGATATTGGTGTGTGGTACAGGTGTTGGTGGGGGAAGATGTGATGGCGTAGTGCGGCCGGTGGTTGTTTACTGCAGGTTTTTGTGAATGCGCATGTGACTCAGTAGGCCAATGCGGTGACTGAATGTAGGGGGCAGGGAGGGCAGTTGGGGCGGATGCGGTGAGTGTAGATGGTGCCCCAGGCACTGGTTCGTCAGCCTATGTGCGATTTATTCGCAAGTGACCGACCAGGACGGTGTTTGGGGTGAATGTGCGATCATAATGGGGACAGGTAGGGACCGAATTCACCTAGATGGAGACGGAGATGCTGGTAGCAATGGTAGCAGATGATGGGATATCGGTGGGGAGTGCGTAATGTCGTGGAGGTGGTGGAACTGGTCGCTGTGGTCGATGAGAGGGTTTGGGCAGGACGAATGGTCTCGGTGCTTGATGGCGGTGGGACAGCGACAGTTTGGCAGGGGGTGGCATTCGGCACGGATTTATCTGCAGTCGTTTCAGAGGGTTCTTCAGAGTGTCGATGTAACGTCGTTTTTGTAATCCCGGTCGACGAGTACCCGTGACGAAATCACCATAAGCGCGCTGTTTCGGTAGACGTGTATCTTCCATCTACCGAGATGGCCTCTCTAACGTAACTGCAGTTGACTCAACATGACATGAATGCTGAGGATTCCGGTCCATTCTAGGACCTCCGTGTTGGGTATCCTGTTTTGCCATCTCAACTTTAGTATTCAGAGAATGCAGCTGAGAAGGAAGTGGTTGAGCTTCTTAACACACGACCGTAATTCGACTGTCCATCCCGACGATGTCCACCGTATGCTACACAGATAGGTGCAGCAGACACGGTGACTTGCGCAGCATCTTTCACACTCTCTCTTCCCCATTCCCCACATGGACCCGACGTCAAAACAGAGGCAACAAAACTGCAGGTGGGGAAGGGCGCAGGTGAGACTTCCTAACACATAACCTTTTACGCATAAACACATGTGGTGACGTACCTGTCACGCAGGCACCCCCTCCCTCCGCGTCCAGTTATCGCTGACTATGCGGTTTCGAGAGGCCACAGCTACGAGCGGCGACTGAAACTGTCATAGCTCACACTACCGCAGATCCATCACTGCTGACCATCATGGCTCTCGTCTGAAATAATCACCAACTCCTGGAATCACCATTCACATAGAGTCTACATCCAACCCACTAGCATCAACGAGATCTGTCACAACCCAACACAACAGGCCTCCCAGAACCGCCGCTCTTACTTATATCCCTACATCCCAGCCAAAACAGGTCACGTGGCGGATGCGCCGAATATACACGGGGCCACATTAGATTCTGGCAGGTGTTATCGGGAATGCGCACCATAACAAATACCAACATTCAGGGTGTGGTGGCAAGTTGCCGGCTTACGTCGAGCCAACTGGAATCATTGTCGTCCCCCCTGGTTGTTGTTGATTGAAATTCCAACCAAGTGTTGGTTGTGGACCAAGGGTTACGGAGTGGTACGCCTAACCGCGGGTCCGGCCGCGCCATCCACCTGCGCCTTCCCTCACTTCCGGTCTTCTTGACTCTGTCTTGACACCGGGTCCAGGTGGGGGAGGAGAAGAAGAAAGTGCGGTAGAGGTAGAGCGCAAGTCTACTATCACTATAGAAAAAGTTCCGCAGAAGTCACCGTGCCTGCTCTCACCTCATTGTGAGCACACGGTGGACATCGTCGGAAACGACGGCCGAACGATCGACATCCCGGCCAACCACACTACACATGAAGCCTGCACTTGCACCACCTGCAAACTAACACCGCCGTAAAACCCTCCTACACAACTATCAATAATACGTCTCACCGGACACAGACGCATCGAGACTGCCATAATCAGCGGCTCTCTAGATGTAGGGTGTGGAAGGGATCACTACCTCCAGATAAGGCACCGCTTGAAGAAAGGCAGAAATCAACCTGAAAATGGAAGCGAGGAGCGCAGGACCAAAACGATTATAGAGCTCATAATCAACGGTTTGGCCCTGCGACTCTGAATAATTAGGCCAGCCTCTCAACCGACCCTGTACGTTTTTGCTCATGACTAGCCAATCAACCGGAGTCCCCTGTATCTCGGGATGGTCTTTCAAATGACTAGGGACATGTCGCGGTAATGCTATGAGATGGTACTACTTAGCTTCGTTACAAGCACTATCCCGGGCCAAGGGCTGGACTACACTTGGATGGAGGCGACCATGGCCAATTCCGAGAGATCGTTTGTCTTTTTTTAACACAATTGATTAATAATACTGTAAGCTCAGAAGAAGAGGATGTGATCGCTCGAACATGGGGTTTATTATCACGACGTTCTTGGTTTACATTCGAACCAGAGATAGCCGCAGATAAGGATGTTGAAGGCGCAAGGATTGCACTATTTATAGAACGCAGTTGTCACGCCACCACACGCCAACTATAACTCGCATTTCCGCATTCATTGCCGGAGGCCGTATTTGACG